TTTTCTTAGATTACAATGTAGATATGGATTAATATCCTGTGTATAAAATAATTTCTCTAATTCGATATTCGGGCGTATAATTGTATGATTAATTTTGTACACGTTTCAATAACATGAAACTTCATTACGATAAAATAGGTAGTATGTGAAAAAAAAATATATATACATTCAATGTGACCCATATTATTGCTGGGAACACTGGGAGGTTCAGAAAATTCTGCGGATTTGGGCCCATATTAATACTTGGGCTGAATTAGACACAAATTAGAGATTTTGTGGAATTTTCAGGTGACCCAAATTAAAAGGAATTGAGTGTGGAATTAATAATTGGGCTTGGCCGTCAGCTGAAGTTGGGTGGCACCAGGCCCACTCAATCGATTCTTTGAAGTCCAGACTGGTACTTGCATAACATACCAACTTTTAGGTAGATAGTAAAAATAGATGTAACATATATGATGAAAAAAAAAATGAACACTTTGTTGAATCACATGAAAAATTGAATATCAAATTGAAAAAATAAAAAATAAAAAAAAAACATTGAAAGTCAATGAGATTGAATTAAACAAATTATAATGAGTTTATAGTATGAGTTGGTAACTGATTATTATTTAAATATAAAATAAATAATTCAAATACTCTCTTATAAAAAGTCAAATCTAAAAGCACTAACTAAGATCACTTAATTTTTTTTTATTTTTTTTTTTGTCTACTTAATTGTTTTTTTTTTAAATAAATAACCCTCCCCACTTCAATAATGTGGCACAACAATGAATTGCACATCCAAAAATCATTTCATATTCTCTTATTGGGAGTCAAAGGAAAGAGACATTAATCACATCAAGAAAGAAAGAAGCGCGTGTAATGTCGACCATTTTGGAATTCCCATTTGAGAGGTCAACAAAAGTGTGTTGCATTCTCATTTTAGAAAAAAAAAAATTAAATAAATAAAATAATAATAATAATAATAATAATAATAATAATTAAAAATAAAGCCAAATGTCCCCAAAATCTTGATCCAACATCTCTCGATTTATGTGTGTTATCTTTGCACAGAGGTCATATTAATCTTCTCTGTATCGTTCTAATTTTATCGGATGTCCCGAAGGGACAAATCTTGATCCAACAAGCTCTTCAAATTGTTAAGCAGAACTAATTGCTACTCCATTGTATTTTTCTAATAAATATGATTTTTTTTGGGCATATAATTGACATATTTTTTTTTTTTTTGGTACAGAGACATTCCGGTTTCCGGATTCATAGGGGAACCGACTAATCTGGAATTGAGCCGGGTAGGACCACAAGGGCGGCAAAGCTCTCCCTCAAGAGTTTTAACACTGCTGCATTCCCATGGCTCGAATACGAGACCACTGGTTAAGCTGGAAGAGACCCAAGTCATTTCATCCAAGCGCTCTTGGGAATTGACACATTTTAAAACAAATATAAACAAATTTACGAAATTTCCGAAATATAAATTTATATTTTAGAGAACGGGTAAAGTCTCGTTGAAGGAGCAGTTCCGTCACGGTTTGTTATAGTAGATTATCCACACAACATAACCTACTTTTCTTATTCAATGGTAGAAACGCTTACGGTACACGAGATCGTAGCATTTTCTTATATTTTATTTAGAAAATATAACAAATTGACTCAACTAATAGTTAGATTGACTCATTGTACATAACAAGTTCTCATTCAAACTCCCATCATTATACCCACCACAATGTTCATACACACTTAACTTTTATAGCAAAATTAGGTGTATATATATGTGTGCACTTGTCCAAACACTCTTTTTCATCATTAAATTCCACCAAAATTGCCAAAATATCAATGGGTCCTTACAATGCCTTCATCTCTTTCTTCTTCTGCTGTTTTTTTCTCACCTCAGGCTCAACCCTCCACCACAGCGGCCACCGCCTCCGCCGCCACCACCACGGTGGCCGGGAAAAGCACGAGTCGTCGGAGGACCATCCTTTCAGACCCACAAAGCTGTTCGTGTTCGGGGACTCGTACGCCGACACAGGGAACATTAGAAAATCCTTTGGAGGCGCGTGGGTTGAGCCGTACGGCTACACTTTCCCCGGCAAGCCCGCCGGCCGGTTTTCCGACGGCCGCGTCCTCACCGATTACGTCGGTAATAAATCAATTATTTCACCGCAGTTAATCCAGTCACTAAGTAAATAAATAATTAATAAATACTAACATATGTACTATATTTTTGTGATAATTAATTAAATAGGTGAACCACTACCCACGTTACCTTTTTATTTTCTTTTCCTTTTGATCAGTTAACACTAGGGCTGCAAACGAGCCGAGCCGATCATTAACCTTATCGAACAGGATTAAATTTTGTTTTAGCTGCTCGAGCTCGTCGAACTCGACTTATTAAAATCGAGCTCGACTCGAAATCAAATGCTCGAGCACGGCTCAAAAATTTAAGTGAAATTATCATTAAATATTTGTGTTATACTATTTAAATATATATAAAGAGTATTTTAGTAATTTAATATATTAGTCCCGCTCACCTGTCCACGGTGGGCAGTGCCCACCACTTTATTTTATATGAAAAACGTATTCTGAGAATACGTTTTTCAATTAAATTTAATTGAAAAACATATTTTCAGAATACGTTTTTCATATAAAACAAAGTGGTGGGCACTGCCCACTGTGGGCAGGGGATCAAAATTTTTTAATATATATATAGAGTTGCTCGACAATGTAAAATATAGATTCGAACTCGACTCGAATTCGTGATCGAGCCGCTCGACTGGTTTGCAGCTTTAGTTGGCACGCAATTATTATATTATCACCATTAATTGTAAAACCTCATCTTTTTTTTTTTTTCCACTTTAGCTTTTTTGCTCTTTATTTTTATTATTATATTAATAGTTATTCCTTTTTATGTGGAGTGTCATAGCATGATGGGCTTTACCTTTTATGTGTAAGTGGTGGGCTTGAGCCTTTAAAGTGCCTGTTTTGTTCGCTTTTTTTGCATGTAGAAAATCTGCATTATTTGCACAAATATATGTAACTTGCCATTATTTGCTATTTGTTGCCTTTATGCAATAGTGTTGCACACATGCATTTGCTTAAACTAATGTTTGGGACTAAATTAAAGGCAACAATTATGAGATTAATTATTTTTCACTATGAACTTATTTTTGCTATGTTTTGTGGTGATCAAATTTAACAGCCAAGTTCTTGGGAATCAAGACTCCATTAGCCTATGAATGGATGAAATTCGGAGGGAATAAACTGCGCCACGGGTTGAACTTCGCTTATGGAGGAAGTGGCGTTTTCGACACTTTAGGTGATATTTTGCCGAACATGACCACTCAAATCGACTTCTTGGAGAAGCTAATGCATCGATCTCTATACACCAAATCCGACCTGCAGTCGTCTGTGGTTCTTGTTTGCCTTGCGGGTAACGATTATGGCGCCTATATGTTTAGAGAAGGCACGGATCAGGTAAATTTTATTCGTTCGGGATTTTTCAAGACATTTTAAGAATTTAGAAATTATAGTTTATTTAATATTGAACTTTTTAAGTCTTTTAAAAGTCCTGAAGTATATTCATTTGGAATTTTAAAAAGTCTTACGAAGTTATGAGGTATTTAACTTATTTGAAACTATAATTTGTTAAAGACTATAAAATTGGCTGGGAATTTGTTAAGAAAAAAACATGTAATAAATCATACTCCAAATCTCACATTCACACTTTAAGATTTCATAGTATTCTTCAAAATTTAGAAACTTTAAAAAGTTTCAAAATATCACTCAAAATCCCAAACGAATACAATCTCTTTCCCTCATTTGAAATACATATAGGTTTGTCTATTAATATTTCCCTATACTTAATCCTTAATTATTTTTACAATTAAAATTAAATTATGTATCTTATTATATGGTTGCTTGTATATGAACACAATAAAATCTTGTTATATGTTATTTGCATGTATATGAATACAGTATATCAATTATGATATCAATCATATCATGAATACTTGGTTTTCGATAATTAAAAATAAATAAATAGCCAAATTTATCTTGTTATTGTTATTTATTTATTTTGTCAATGGTTATCCGAAGAAAAATAAGATTTTTTTCCTTCATTTTGTGGTGGTTATAAATTAATTAATTGCTATAAACCGCCAGCATTGAACTTGGGTGGTTGTGACACGACACGTCACACTAGTCATAATAAGCCATACATTTCTTATATGTGGTTGATGATTTTTGTCTTTTTTTTTTTTAATCGTATAATAATATGAATCCAAGTGAGTTAGGTGGCATCATTAATTTCTTTGAACAAATGCATATCACTATAAAAGAAACTCTTACATTCTAATGGAAATTTTCCGTTGGAATTTTTTATATTACCGTTGGAATAGCTATTCCAACGGATATTCCTACGTATAAAAATCCGTTAGAAAAACGGTCGTTGAAATAGCAAATATCCAACGGAAAATCCTATGAAAATAAATTCTTACAGCTATTCCAACGAAGGATTTCGGAAAAAATCTGTTGGAATTCTTCAACTATCCAACACTTATTCCAACATAAAATTAAGTTTGTTGGAATATTCATTAGAATTTTCAACGAAAATTTTTGCCGTTGGAATTTTTCGTTGGAATTGTAGTGTATGCTATACAATTTCTTGACCAATTTAGCCTAAAAACCGTACCAAATGCAGGACCTTAACCTGGGTGCGGCTCTGAATCAACCGGATCTCGATCGACCGGTTGAACCTAACTGAATCAAGAATCTATTTGATTTTTTATCCCTCCTATATATTAATTTAGAATTTGTTGTACCTAATGGCAAGCTCGCATGCTTCGTCATCATATGTGACAAAATTACATGCTGTGTTATTAGGTTTGGATAAATTTTAATTTACTTCAAACCCTTTAAACCAAAAAATAATTAGGTCTAGATTATCCATAAATATGTTGATTATTTATGCTCATGTTACATGTATTTTAATATCATTTCTTATTATAACAATTGAATTGTAAATGTATTTTAAAAAGCTAATAACTTTTGTATTTTTTATCAGTTTTACATATATAATATATCAAATTAATCATCTCTTGATAAACTTCGATTTAACATCCATATTGTATGGATAATAGATTATATTAGCTTCATAACAATAATAAAATTATTTTTAACATCAATTAGAAAAATAAAAATTATTTATCATTTAATATATTTATTTCAAGTAGTTATATGATACATGTAAATCGTTCAAATAACAAGTGTCGTTCTAAAATATATAATAATACATATTTTTTGTAAAAAAGTAAATAAAATTTAAAATAATTTTCTCATTAATTTTACAATTTCAGAATATTTTTTAACAAGCACCCGTATAATACACGGGTATTGTACTAGTTTAATTTATATCTAGAAAAGATACAAAGAATTGCACTATGACTCTACTTCAAATTCAACCGAAAGAATACTCTAAAAACATTACTTTCAATATCTCAATTCATCAATTTTTCAAAGTATTTTTTCTAAACGTCTTTTTTAAGGAATAAAT